AAGATAAAAGTTTACATTTGTTTATCCTTTGATAAGTTTGTATAGTTAGTAGCTATATGTCTGCCACAGCATGTATAATTTTTTTTATATTCCACATTTTATGCTGAGATGCTAAGATGAAGAGTATATTTTATTTTTTATTTAAATGTTATAAGTTACACACTATGTAGTTATCTTATTTCTTAATCGTAAAATTTAAGCTACTTTTAATTTTCAGTGATCACTTTAGCATAAAACTTGGTTAAAGCTTGAAATTTTATAATAACAGTATCCTCATTTTACTTGCCATTTTAACACACTCTGGAGTACAATCACATCAATTAAATTTTCACTTTTTTCCACAATATCATCAGTCTCCAACCTTTTTAATTTCAATTTTATAAAAAAAAACGAAACTCGATCGAAACATTAATTTTTCTTTTAAACAATCTGATAATTTTTTTTTAGGCCAAAATCTCCAGCCCTAACTTAACAACACAATTCGCCTTTACCAACACACATTAACACCATACAAACATTTATCACTTTACAACACTATAGCACTTTCAAAACCATTAAGCACTTTACAACCACATTCAGCACTTTAAACACCTTTCTCATTTTACAACAATTCAGACTTTACAACACCATCAGACTTTACAAACACATTTCTGCATTTACAACAAATTCAACACCTTCCAACAAATTTCAACACTTACAACCCTTCTTACTTTCCTATTCTCCCCTTCTTCCTCTTCTTCCTCTTCTTCCTCATCTTCCCCATCTCCCCTGCTTCCACTTCTTCCTCTTCTTCCTCATTTCCTTTCTTCCCTTCTTTCTCTTTCTTTTTCCTCCACCTCCGTTCTCTTCTTTCTCTTCTTTCTCTTCTTTCTCTTCTTTCTCTTCTTCCTTTTTTCCTCTTCTTCTCTTCTTCCCTTCTTCCTCTTCTTCTCTTCTTCCCTTTTTCCTCTTCTTCTTCCCCTTCTTCCCTTTTTTCTTCTTCCTTCCTCCTCTTCCTTCTTCTTTCCTTCTTCTTCCCTTTTCTTTCTTCTTCCTTCTTTCTTCCCTTCTCTTCCTTCTTTTATCCCTACCCCTTCCAACATCTATGCAGCCACTCACAATGGCTTCAGCCAATTGTACCATTTATAGTTGAGTGGCTGCATAGACTATGCAGCCACTATATGCTCTCCTACTGTTTATTGAGTGGCTGCATTAGGACTATGCAGCCACAATATGCTCTCCTACTGATTTATTTTCTTCTTCCACTTCCGCCAAGATTTTGGCACTTTTCAATTTTCACGCTGTTCACAATTCAACACATTATTACATCGTTACGAACGGCTTCCCGTCTCCTTATTGCTATACTTTTCTACACTTCCACCTTTAGCACTTTTTCAGATATTAACAAAAGTTCAAGCACGTTTTTCCCATAGACTTACATGTGGACCAGTACAACAGATTACTCCCATACAACACGTTACCCACACTAACAATTCATTACCACAAGATACAATACATTACAGCCTCTTACAACACGTACCTCCCCTTACAACCCATTAGCCTTTACCACACATTCACCACCTCTACAACACTAACATACCTTACACACTTTAGCACTTTACACACAAATTCAAACACATTTAGCATTTTACAAACAACATTCAACTCCTAAAACAAATTCAATACTTACAACACATTTAGCACTTACAACACATTTAGCACTTTACAACAAATCAACACCTTAAAACACATTTAGCAACTTTACAAACAAATTCAACACCTCTTCAACACATTTTAGCACTTTACAAAGTTTTTAGCACTTTACCACACTTTCAGTCCCTCTACAAACAATTCTTCTTAATTCTTCCTTTCTTTCCTTCTTCCCTTCTATCCTCTTCTTCCTCATCTTCTGTTCTTCCCCTTCATCTCTTCTTCCCCTTCTTCCTCTTTCCTCTTTTCCCCTTCTTCCTCATCTTTGTACTTCCCTTCTTCTCTTCTTCCCCTTTGTCCTCTTCTTCCTCTTCTCCCTTCTTCCTTTTTCTTCTGTTCTTCCTCTTTTCTTTCCCTTTTTCTCTCTTTCCCCTTCTTCCTCTTCTTCCCCTTCTTCCTCTTCTCCTTTCTTCCCCTTTTTCCTCTTCTTGCTTCTTCCTCTTCTTCCCCTTTTTATCTTCTTCCCTTCTTCTCTTCTTCCTCTTCTTCTTCTTCTTCCCTTTTCCTCTTCTTCCCCTTCTTCCTCTTTCTCCTTCTTCCCCTTCTTCTTCTTCTCCTCCTCTTCCTTCTTCGTCTTTCCTCTTCTTCCCTTTTCTTTCTTCTTCCGTCATTCTTCCTTCTTCCTCCTAACCCTTCCATACATCTTGCAGCACTCACCAATGGCTCTGCCATTGTACCATTTCTAGTTCTTCTTTCCACTTCCGCCAGATTTTGGCACTTTCAACTCTTCAACGCTTTCACCCAAATTCAAAAACAATTATACATCGTTACGACCGGCTTAACCCGTTCATTCTTGCTATTTACTTTTCACACTTCCACCTTTAGCACTTTTTCAGATATTAACAAAAGTTCAAGCACTTTTTCCCATAGACTTACATTGGACCAGTACAACAGATTACTCCCCATACAACACATTACCACACTAACAGATTATCCCACAGATACAAACATTTACAACATTCTTACAACACTTACGCACCTTACAACACAATTTAGCATTTACCAACATTCAACACAGAACAACACATTTAGCACTTTAAAACATCTTCAACCCACCTTACAACACATATAGCACTTTACAACAAATCACACTTACAACAATTCAGCACCTTACATCAAATTCACACCTTACATAGGGCCTGCTGGCAAAAAATCGATTTAATGTATTTATCGATTTTGTAGCTTAAAAGGATTTTTATTTTTGCAACTCGTGTTTTTTTCTTCACCAAATTTTTTTTTCTGAGTTTTTTTGCGTTTCGTCCTTGTGTGGTTACCGTAGAGCGTTATGAGCCAGGCCCCTCCGCCGCGTAAACACAGTCAAAAACAAGAATGGCAGCGTGTAGTAGTGCAGGGGTTCCCAAGTTCCTTTAGCCCGGCGACCCCATCATAACTGCCCTGCTAACCCTCTCAGAGAAGTCGCGAGAGCGCATTTCTTGCGCCTCGCCCTCCACTGTTCTCCGTACCGCGTAATGGTGGGCCGGCTTTCGGAATGTCAGCGGTAAAGAGGTCCGCACATTATAAGGGGCGGCGCTTCTGCTGTTACTTTATGCGGTTCATCCCCGCGGCTTCTCTTTCCAAAGTTACTGTCAGGAAATAGGCATAGACCGGCCACCGCTTTTAATGTGCGGACCCTCTTTACCGTTGGACTCCGAAAAGCCGGGCCTCTTTAACGCGTGTTCTACCGCTGTCCTTTCTCCCTCCTTTGCCCTCTCTCCCTCTCTTGCACCATCAGCTGGACCTGATACAAGTGACTTTTCTTCCTCCTCGCGCCCTCTCTCACTTCTCCTGCCCTCTCTCACTCCGCTGCCCTCTCTCCTCCCCGCTGCCCTCTCTCCCTCCGCTGCCCTCTCTCCCTCCGCTGCCCTCTCTCCGCTGCCGCTGCCCTCTCTCCCTCCGCTGCCCTCTCTCCGCTACTCTGCCCTCTCTCCCTCCGCTGCCCTCTCTCCCTCCTCTGCCCTCTCTCCCTCCCCGCTGCCTCTCTCCCTCCTCTGCCCCTCTTCCCTCGCTGCCCTCTTTCCCTCCGTGCCCTCTCTCCCTCCGCTGCCCTCCTCCTCCGCTGGCCTCTCTTCCTCCGCTGCCCCTTCTCCCTCCTCTGCCCTCTCTCCCTCCTCTGGCCCTCTCTCCCTCTCTTCGCCACCATCAGGCCGGACCCTGATACAAGTGACTTTCTCCCCCTCGGAGGGTTTTCTGTGTGGATATTAACCACGTTTCATTTAACAAAGCAGGTATTTTTATTTGTAGCCTCCAAACACCTTAGTTTTAGCAAACAACAGTTAGGACACGCTTTGTCGCTGCGCTGAATAGTGAGCTGTGTTACGTGATGATTTTGATTGACGCTTGCCAATGACTGGGACAAAATATTTACTAACGTTATTAAAATATATGATTGTCTCAAACACAATTTTAACAAGTAGTTCCTTTGAATCAACTTCAAAGCTAAATAAATATTTAAGGGCTTTATATTTGCTCAAAAAAAAAAAAATCTTTTTTTTTTGTTTGTGTAGAAATCATCATGCGACCCCCCAGGGGTTCCCGCGACCCCCGGGGGGGTTTTAACAGGGGGGGCTTGTTAAAAGGATGTAGATGCGAGGTACAGTCCGTTGTCCCCAGTCGCAAGTATTTCGCCCCCGATTGTTGTAGCGCTCTTTTGCCTCACCTTGTACATTACAACTTCGTGATGGCGTCGAAAAGAACCTGCGGTTGAGCTGGGGGAGCAGGATGACGTTTTACTCAGCCACCCACGGACCTTGTTGTGGTTGTTGGAAGGCTCATTCTTTCTTGCAAAAAATGTTAGAATGAGCATGCACAATATTTCCAGAGATCTAATGTATTTTTGTTAAATAACACCATAAAACATATATTAATCACCAATCACCTACTATCTTACTAAATCAATCATTTACATCCCCATTCAATATACCATATAAAACAATCACAAATATCTTATATTCAACCTATCATCTAATCAATACAATAATCATAAATTCAAATAAACAAAAAAATAATTTTACATTCATTTCTATCAACTCACAAACTTCATAAACATTTACTATATAATCCCAAATCAAACCCCCATTTAACACCTCAATAACTATTAATCAAACCCTCTCCACAAAACCAAATCCAAAACCCACAATCTTACCATACCCATCAAACCCAAATCCCTTATTACAACTCACATCATACACATACCATTAACTATCCTTTTTTCACACCACCCACTCACCCTCTCTCCCACAATCCAAAAACAAAAACCACCACTTCTAAAAAAAAAACTTCCCAACTCCCCTCCACACCAACCCCCCCCTTAATCACATAAAAAAACCCCAAACACCCCCATACCCCCTCCCCAAATTCCCAAACCCACACCCAAACTCCCAAACCCACCCCAACCTCCCAAACCCCCCCCAACTCCCAATACCCACCAAACTACCAAAACCCCCCCCACATCCCTAAACCACCCAACCTCCCTAACCCCCCCTAACTCACAAACCCCCCCACAACCCCCCAACCACAAAACACACCAAACACCACCATCAAACTTCCTCTTCTACCCCATCAACCACAACTTCCACAACTCCTCCAACACCCATCTACCCTTCATCCCCTTTTCCTCATCTTCCTCATCATTCCTCAACAACCCATCATTTCTTCTCTCTTTTCACCTCCTCCTTACTCATCTATCTCTTCTATCCTCTTCTATCTCATCTTTCATCATCTTCCTATTCATCCACTTCTCTCTTACCCCTTCTTCCTCATCAACCTCTTCTTCCCTTTTCCTCTTCTTTCTTCCCTTATTCCCTTCTTCTTTCTTCCCTTCCTCTCCCCCCTCCTTCTTCTTTCCTCATCTTCCCTTTTCCTTTCTTCTTCCTTCTCTTCCCTTCCCTCTTCCTTCTTCATTCCCAAACCTCTTCAAACATTCATGCAGCCACTCACAATGGCTTCATCCGATTGAACCATATCTAGTATAGTGGCTGCCTAGGACTATGCATCCATATTTTCTCTCCTACTGTTTCTTGCGTGGCTGCTAGTCCTAAGATCACTCATTCTCACCCTACTTTTTATTCTTCTTTCCACTTCCGCCATATTTTGGCACTTTTCAACTCTTCACTCTTTCACAAATCAACAAAATTCTACATCGTTACTAACAGCTTCACGTCTCATTATGGCTATTACATTTCAACCTTCCACCTATCTGAACACATTTTCAGCTATAACAAAATTTCAATCACATTTTCCCATATACTTAATAGTGACCATTACAACATATACTCCCACATAACAAAACACACACAACACACACAAAAACCACATTACCACACTAAACAATTCATATACCACAGCTACACTTACATTACAGATCTTACAACACTTACGCACCTTACAACACTATAGCACTTTACTAACACATTCACAACCTTACAACATTACAAGCACCTTACAACACATTTAGCACTTTACAACAAATTCACCACATTTAGATTTTTACAAACACATCAACCACCTTAAAACAAATTCAATACCTTAACACACCTTTCGCACTTACACACACATTTAGCACTTTACAACAAATTCAACACCTTAAAACACATTTAGCAACTTTACACAAATTCAACACCTTTCACCACATTAGCACTTTACAACGTATTTAGCACTTTACAACACTTTCAGTCCCTAACAACACATTCTTCATACTTCTTCCCTCTTCTTCCTTCATTCCTTCTTCCTCTTCTTCCTCATATTCCTGTTCTTCCCTTATTCCTCTTCTTCCCCTTTTCTTTCTGCCTCTTCTTCCCCTTCTTCCTAATCTTCTGTACTTCCCTTCTTCCTCTTCTTCCCCTCTTCCTCTCTTCCTCTTCTTCCCCTCCTTCCTCTTCTTCTGTTTCTTCCTCTTTCCCTTTTCCTCTTCTTCCCTTCTTCCTCTTCTTCCCTTCTTCCTCTTTTCCCTCTTCTTACCCTTTTTTCCTCTTCTTGCTCTTCTTCCTCTTCTTCCCCTTTTTCCCTCTTCTTCCCCACTTCTTCCTCTTCTTCCTCTTCTTTTTCCTCTTCTTCCCCTTTTTCCTCTTCTTCCCCTTCTTTCATCTTCTTCTCCTTCTTCCCCTTCTTCTTCTTCCTCCTCCTCTTCCTTCTTGTCTTTCCTCTTTTCCTTTTCTTTCTTCTCCTTCTTCTTCTTCTTCATCCCTAACCCTTCCAACATCTAGCAAGCCACTCACAATGCTTCAGCCATTATTTCCATTTTCTAGTTCTTCTTCCACTTCCGCCAGATTTGGCATTTTAACTCTTCAAGCTTTCACCAAATTCAACAAATGTATACATCGTTGACGACGGCTGCACCGTCTCATTATTGCTATTACTTTGCCCCACTTACACTATAGACTTTTCGATGATTAACAAACAGTTCAAGCACTTTTTCCATAGATTACATGGGACCAGTTACCACAGATTACTCCCATACAAAACATTTACACCTAACAATTCATCACCACTGATCAAATACATTACAACATCTTACAACACTTACAGCACCTTACAACACATTTTAGCACTTTACACAACAAATTCACACCGTACAAACACATTTTGCACTTTAAACATATTCAACACCTTACAAACATTTAGACTCTTTACAACCAATCACACCTTACAACACATTCAGCAACCTGTACAACAAATTCAACACCTTACATTAGGGCTGGGCAAAAAAATCGATTTAATCGATTTATCGATTTTGTTGCTTAAAAGGATTTTTATTTTGGCAAACTCGAGTTTTTTTTCACCAAATTTTTTTTCTGAGTTTTTTGCGTTTCGTCCTTGTGGGTTCGTGTAGTGCGTATGAGCCAGCCCCCTCCGTCGGGCGTAAACAACAGTCAAATCAAGAATGCAGCGTGTAGTAGAGCAGGGGTTCCAAAGTCTTTAGCCCGCGACCCCCATCATTAAATGCCCTGCTAAAACTCTCCTCAGCAGAGAAGTGGAGAGCATTCTTGCGGCTCGCCCTCCACTGTTCCCTACCGCGGTAAAGTGGGCGCTTTCCGGAGTCAGCGGTAAAGAGGTCCGCACAATTAAAAGCGGGGGTCCGCTTTCTGCTGTTACTTTTATCGGTTCATCCCGGCGGAGTCTCTTTCCAAAGTTTATGTCAGTAAAGGCAATTAGGCCCGGCCACCCGCCTTTAATGTGCGGACTCTTTACCTTTGACTCCGAAAAAAGCCGGCTCTTTAACGCGCTGTTTACCGCTGTCCTTTCTCCCTCCCTTTGCCCTCTTCTCCCTCTCTTCGCACCATCAAGCCTGAACCCCTGATACAAGTGGACTTTTTCTCTCCCTCTCTGCCTCTCTCCTCCTCTGCCCTCTCTCCCTCCCGCTGCCCTCTCTCCCTCCGCTGCCCCTCTCTCCTCCGCTGCCCTCTCTCCCTCCCGCTGCCTCTCTCCCTCCCCGATTGCCCTCTCTCCCTCCCGCTGCCCTCTTCCCTCCTCTGCCTCTCTCCTATCGCTGCCCTCTCTCCTCCTCTGCCCTCCGCTCCTCGTGCCTCTCTCCTTCCATTCTGCCCTCTCTCCCTCCGGCTGCCCTCTCTCCCTCCGCTGCCCTCTCTCACTCCGATGCCCTCTATCTCCTCGCCCGCTGGCCTCTCTTCCTCCGCTGCCCTCGCTCCCTCCTCTGCCCTCTTCCCTTCCTCTGCCCTCTCTCCCTCTCTTCGCACAATTCAGCTGACCCCTGTTACAGTGACTTTTCTCCCCTCCGGGGTTTTATGTTGTGGATAATAACACGTTTCATTTTAAATGCAGGGTATTATTTATTTGTAGCCTCCAAACACCTTTAGTTTTAGCAAACAACCAGTAGACACGCTTTGTCGTGCGCATGATGTGAGCTGTGATACGTTGATGATTTTGATTGACGCTGCAATGACTGGGACAAAAATTACTATCGTTATTAAAATATATTATAGTCCAAACACAATATAACAAGTAGTCCTTTGAATCAAATCATCATGCTAAATAAATATTTAAGGGCTTTATATTTGCTCAAAAAAAAAAAAAATCTTTTTTTTTTGTTTGTGTAGAAATATCATGCGGGGGGACCCCCCCCAGGGGTTCCCGCGACCCCGGGGGGGGTCTTTCAACAGGTGGGGCTTGTTAAAAGTATTAGATGCGAGGTACAGTACGTTGTCCCCAGTGCAGTCGCCAAGTATTTCCGCGAGTTAGCGTGCCTCACCTGTACAATACAACTCGTGATAAAGATCCGCGGTGAGTCTGGGGAGATGACGTTTTATCAGCCACCACGGACCTGTGGTTGTGGACAGGCTCATCTTTCTGCAAAAAAAAGCTGTAGAATGAGCATGCACAATATTTCAGAGATCTAATGTTTTGTTGTTTTAAGATAAAAGTTTACATTTGTTTATCCTTTGGAAGTAGTAGTTAGTAGCTATATGTCTGCCACAAGGATGTTAATTTTTTTTTATATTTCCCATTATGCTGAGAGGCTAAGAGATGAGTTTATTTTTATTTTTTAATGTTAATGTTTATGTGTTTACAAAATATCGTCAGTTATCTGATTTCTAATCAGAAAAATTTAATCTTACTGTGACGGTTTATGTCTTCACTTTTGCTTAACCCTTGGTTAAAGCTTGAAATTGTTGAATAACAGATCCTCATCTTACTTGCATTTTAACTCTTGAGGACAAATCACAGCAATAAATTGCACTTTTGACAATATATCTTAAGTCTCCAGTCATTTTTTAAGTTGCATTTGTAAAAAAATCTACAATCTAATCGAAACTTTACATTTTTCATTTTAAAAAACTTATATTTTAATTATTCGTCCCAATCTCCCATCCCTCACCTTACAAACCATTTATCCACTTTCCACACACCTTCAACACATACAACCCATTTATCATTTCCAACCACACTTTTCACTTATACAACCAACATAAGACTTGTACAACACATTCAGCACTTTACAACACATTTAGACTTTTACAACACATTCAGCACTTTACAACACATTCAGCACTTTACAACAACATTTAGCACTTAAACAAATTCACCACCTTACAACAAATTCAACCCCTTACACCACCATCTTACTTTCCTCTTTCTTCCCTTTCTTCCTCTTCTCCTCTTCTCTCCTCTTCTTCCCCTTCTTCCCCTCTCTTTCCCCTTTTCCTTCTTCTACTCTTTTCCTCTTCTTCCCCTTCTTTCTCATCTCTCTTTTCCTCCTCATCCGTTCACTTCTTTCTTTCTTTACTCTTCTTTCTCTTCATTTTCTTTCCTCTTTTCCCTTCTTCTTCTCTTCTTCCCCTTCTTCCTCTTCTTCCTTCTTCTTCCCTTTTTCCTCTTCTTCTTCCCTTCTCCCTTTCTTCTTCTTCCTCCTCCTCTTCCTTCTTCTTTCCTCTTCTTCCCTTTTCTTTTTCTTCCCTTCTTCTTCCTTCCTCTTCCTTCTCATCCCTAAACCTACCTACATCTATTGCAGCCACTCACATATGTCTTCAGCCATTGTACCATTTTAGTTGAGTGGCTGCATAGATAGCAGCCTCTATATGCTCTTGCTACTGTTTTATTGAGTGGCCTTGCATAGACTTTGCAGCCACTATATGCTCTATCCTGTTTATTCTTCTTCAGCTTCCGCAAGATTTTGGCACTTTTCAAACTCTTCAACGCTTTCACCAAATTCAACAATTTATACATCGTTACGAAGGCTTACCGTCTCATTTATTGCTTTACTTTTCCACTTCCACCTTTAACTTTATCAGATATTAACCAAAAGTTCAAGCACTTTTTCCCAATAGCCTATACTTGGACCAGTACAACAGATTACCCCCATACAACACATTACCACATCAACAATTCAATCCACAGCTACAATACATTACAGATCTTACACCACTTACATCCCCTTACAACAATTT